TCTCCCCCTGTGCGATTAATTACTTCCTTAAAATCTTATTTCCATCTTTCCATTCTGGTCTATAGACACCATGGGTAATTCAGAATCTTTAGTACCACATACATACTAAATATAATACTTAAAACTACTCCCCTGTTATAAAACAGAATGGTGTATTACCATCAAGCCATCTTTCATTTCTCCTCTGCTCCTATTTTTGTAATAGTCTTCATTATGGTCCTTCATGTACAATCAAGTCTAGTGTGTCTTTACCCTTCTGTCAGTAAGCTTGAAAAATTGTTACCTTACCTCCCCTCTCACTTCTGTGTAAGTTTCTAGTTTAGACCACCTGGTCTATTTAGCATTCAAAACACATATTCTTTTCTTTTTGAACACTGCTTATTTCATAGCATTTTTGTTGTTTCCTATAGTCCAGTTCTACTTGCCACATAGACATAGAGCTCAGTGAGAAAGACTGCACAAAACTATCACAGAAATAAAGGAACATTGAGAGTGCCACAAGATCTGGGAAAAAAGAGAGTGCTGTCGTGTACAGTCTGTGTTGAGGAGAAGAGAAAGGTGTACTCCACATGACAGGCAGGCAGGGAAGAAGTTCATTCAGTTTGGTAAGGGGCAAAGGGCTTCTCTAAGCTTCTTTTAGGCAGGATGAGAGGATGAGTAGGAATGAACTCTGCAGATGGGTGGACAACTCTAAGGCACAAGGACCCGGACAAAGGACTTTCAAGCAACTAAAAGAAGCTGAGGACGTGGGTGTACAGTGAGAACTGGAGAGGCGCATCTGCACAGGCAGGGAGGGATCAGTGCATGCCCAGAATCTCTGGGCTTTATCCTAAGAACAAGTGGAACATGTTCCAAGATACTGAAAGGCAGGACCACGGCTAACCCTGAACAGGTTAGAAAGAGAGAAGCAGTTATGACTCCAGAGAGAAGTCTAGAGTTATTAAAATACACATCTACCTCTACCACTCCTCTTTGTGAGTCTCATCCCAACTCAAGTGTAAAAATACCAGAGAAAGAAAGCCTATGAATGCATACGTACAGCCATTTTCAGTTGGTCCATTTGACTTTGACAAGAGTCCTGTATATCTATATACGTGTATAAACAATTAAGAGAGTGTGGGAGCTGTGGAGATGGTTCAGTTGGTAAAGTGCTTGCTGTGCAAGCATGAAGACCTGAGTTCAGAACCCCAGAACCTATACACAAATCTAGCATAGCAGCTCACACCTGTAATCCCAGCATTGAGGCAGAAACAAAGGATCCCTGGGTTTGCTAGCCAGCCTTTCTGGCAAAAGCAATGAGCTCCAGGTTCAGTGAGTGGCCTTGCCTCAAAACACGGGGTAGAAGGCAGATGAGATGCCTCAAGTCTATTGACTTCAATTTGATCCCCAGAATCCACATACAGGTGGAAGGAGAGAATTGACTCCACAAGGTTGTCATTTGACCTCTGCATGTGCATCCCTCCCCCCCACAATAATGATAAATTTTTTAAAAAATGAGGTGGAAAGCAAACAAAAAAGACACATGTCAACATCTGGTCTCTACATACATGCACACATACATGTATATCGAACATACAAATATGTGTGTACACACACATACATAATAAAAAATACATAATATTTTTTAAAGTGAAACATTCCAAAAACTAACAAGCTAATGAAAACCTTCATTTCACTGTTGGCTATAACTTAGTGTGAGACTTCAAGTTAAATGTTCATTCTTTGGCCTTTTGTTTTCCCATAAGATCTTCAATAGGGGAAAATATTTTAAAATACCAATGAAATATTTTCCTATGATTATTTTAATTCTCATTGCTTTTTAGTCTCCTTGTCTAGAGTAGGTAATGAATTTCAAAATGTGATTACAAATACCAGGTATTTCTTATAAAGTTGCAATGAGTATCGAGGATAAAGCTGAAGGAAGCTAGGTCACAAAAGTAACAAATTTAAAAATGACAGTAAGAAGTCTTTTCGTCTACCAGGTATTGAATTGGGTACCTTAATACATATGGTATCATTTCATTGTAATGACTCATCTAAGATGTGTATGCGTATGGATTTCCATAAAATATATACATCTAAGAGTTGTGCTGTCCAATATGGTAGCCCATGGCATTCAAGCACTGGAATAATGGCAAGTCATGAGATTTCAAAGCATAATAAAGTAAAATTTCTAACTAATTTTTAAATACTGCTATTGCTAGCATGTTGGAATGACAGGATTTAAATTAAAGAAGTGCACTTGGGGCTGGAGAGATGGCTCAGCAGTTAAGAGCACTGACTGCTCTTGCAGAGGACCCAGGTTCGATTCCCAGTACCACATGGCGGCTACGAACCTTCCTTAACCCCGGTTCCAAGGGAATCTGAAGCCCTCTTCTGACTTCTGCAGAGACCCAGGTGCACTCACATACATGTAGGCAATACACTAATACACATAAAATAATAATAAATAAAATTAAAAAAAATATATATATATTTTTCTATAAGAGGATATGTTAAATATATGTTAAAAAAAAAGAAATGTACTTGTAGGATCACAACCCCTTTATATTAATGTTTAAAATCAGTTACCATGGATTTTCAATTATCCACATTAACTCACATTCTAGTTCTTCCCAACACTGCTGCCCTGGCATCCAATTTGGAGTTTGAAGGGGCCAGCAGATACCAAGCTGAAAGAGACTTGTACAGAAGAGGCTGCGTGGATTCAAACAGGTCTTATACATCCTCTCCATAAATGCCTGGTCTTGGATAAGGCAGCAAATCTCTGCACTTCAGCTATGCCACCTGCACTATGGTATTAAATATCCCCAGTGCAGAGCAGACAGTTAGCACACAGTGAGCAAATGGGAGGAAGGAATCCCTGGACACCTCCTGTAGCAACCAGTCGGTTCAAAAACTTATTTGAAAATCCACTTATTTGAAAATCATGTTTTATTCTTAAGTGGGAGGAGCTAAAGACCTCTTTATGTATGCCTCATATACTGTATATTATAAAAATTCACACCCCATCCTCTCTTTACATTTATAAGACATAACGGACAAAGAAGACAAATGATGGCCTTAGGTGAAATACAGAAGTCAGGACATCAATGTCAGGGCTCATGTGGCTCTCACGCACAGGGCAAGGTACCCCAGTGGGAAGAGCTGTTGGACTCAGGCTCAGCTCATCAGTGGTCTTCTTATGAAGAACTGAAACTAGTTAGAAAAATGGTACCAAGGTGAGTTAAACTTTACTCCGTTTTCTTTGCGTGGGTTGCAGTACCAACAACGTACACAGATTAGCCCATTATTATAACCAAGAAATGTAATCTGCACAAAATCCTAAGAAACTGCAACATGTGGACTGTCCTACCCAGTATTCTGCCAAGTTCTTTCCTGAGGTGATGCCAGTATTCTGCCAAGTTATTTCCTAAGGTGATGTGTGTGTGTGTGTGTGTGTGTGTGTGTGTGTGTGTATGCGCTTTACTATGTGCATGGAAGTGTGAAGGTGGGACACCTGGAGCGCTTGAGATACACTTGGCCTAAAATTCGTATGTGACAAGTGTTTTTCAGACTACCCTATTCTGTAGTTCCTTCACTTTTTAATTGAGTCGTGCTGGGAGGATTTAAGTTGCTCAAATGTGGCCCTGTAAATGTAATATACAAAGTTTAACATAAAAATTCTCTTAAGGATAAAATAATCTCAAGAAAATGAGACTAAGTGTACCCCCCCAAGCATATACACATGAATATACCACACATGGAAAAAAAAAAAAAGAAAAAGAAAAGAAAGAAAAAGCAAATGAGACTGGAGAAGTAAAAAGACACCAGATTCACAGATTTTGGATTTGAGAAGAGACCATAAAATATTCACTATACTTGGATCTGGAATTTAACACAAAAAATAATGTAGAAAATTTTACTCTACTCTATTAGCTGGGAAGGGGCAATGGGGAGAGGGTATTCTCTTCGACCTCATAAACTGGGATAAAAACCCACCATTTTGTAACCAGTTTTTGCTCTTTCCCTGAATACAAATGACTTGGTCTTGGCTCTGAAATAAGTACACTCTGACTGACTGATAATGTGATTACATCTACAGTACAGTACAGTACAACAGCGCCTTCAAATTTAGGATTACAGGTAGGATAAACTAGGGAGATTATCAGTATAAGGACCAAACAGTTATGTGTAATAAATAATTAGAAAAAAAGTCTGCCAAAATTCTGCAATAACATGTCACTACATTTCTAATACTTCAAGGTAAGGGGAAAATATACTCTGCCCACTTGAAACAAACACTGAAAATCATTCAGACTACCAATCACATCCAAAATGCACTCTACGAAAAGTTTACATAAGGAAAAGGCTTATACGAATTAACTTTAAATTAGATAGTATCGTGAGGCACATCCCTTAAGAAACTTTGGTTTAGTTTCCAGGAAGAGCCTCCTCCCTCCCCCTTTTTGGAAAAGTGGCTAGATTTTTAAAAACAAAAGAATGAAGTTGCACTCCTCTAGCGTGAAAGGCGTAAATGCGCTTCTCCGTGCTAACACTCTTGCAACCCCCGCCCCGCGAGCTGTTCGGGTGTCTTCATATGCTGGCATGGCTTTGGAAGTTTCTCACTTAAGTGATTCATTTTTGTCAACTGCCTTGGTAGCATTTACCTTTTCCACGATGAGAAAGGTGTCCTATTGGCACTGACATTCTTACCCTGCAAGTTTCTGCTGTCAAACCCCTCAAAGATTGGTTCACGAGCGCCTTCAACCTGCAAACGCTCGCCCCAGTCTTAGCCAGCACCACTCTACCCAGCACCCACCTACTCACCCTTTCCTCTCAGCAAGTTTTAAACTTTGTTTCCTCGGGGCTTCGGTAACCAGCGCTACCTACTCCTGTCTTAGGGCCAAAGATCTGTGCTGGGGGCTACGGGGATGCCCAATTTTAGTTGGGGAACAAAGCACTGATGGGAGACTCGGGAGGAGGGCCCGGGACTGGGATCCCCGCCGCGCTGTGCTCACCGCTTCACGCGGATGATCTGGTCCCTCATAGGCTTGATGTCCTGGAAGCTCTGCTGGTTGACCAGGCTGTAGACCAGGATGAAGCCCTGGCCATTCTTGATGTACAGGTCCCGCATGGACGCGAACTGCTCGGTGCCCGCCGTGTCCAGGATCTCCAGCACCGACGGCGACGAGTCCACCTCGATCTCCTTGCGGTAGAAGTCCTCGATGGTGGGGTCGTATTTCTCGATGAAGGTGCCGGTCACGAACTGCACGGTCAGGGCGGATTTGCCAACCCCGCCCGAGCCCAGAACCACCACTTTGTACTCGCGCATCGTCCCTCCGCGGCCGTCGCCGCCGCCGCCGCCCGCGACATAGACCTCTGCCCGCTCGCGGCCGCGCCGCCTTCCCGGGCCGCCCCCACCTCACGGCCGCGGC